AGGTAATTCCTGCTGAATAGGGTTGTTGCACTGGCCCTACCTAGGATTGTCAGTCTGTTAGGGGTTCTTGTGTGCCAGTAGGTTGGAATAAAAGAGTCATATGGGTAATTAAGGGCAGGTTGAGTAAAAATAATTTGTAGCTTGGTCTCAGGTGTTCAAGGAGAGTGAAGTTTCTGATGTATAGGTTGGAAACTTTGTTGAAGCATCATCTGGAGATGGAATTGTTGGAGTCTGGAACAAACTTGATAAAAGGACTAAAGTGTGGGCTGGGCGCAGTGGCTCAAGCCTATAATCCCAACACTTTGGAGGCTGAGGCAAGAGGATTGCTTGAGCCCGCAGGTTTAAGACCAGCCTGGGCAACATGATGAGACCTTGTCTCTACAGTAAATCAAAAAGTTAGCCAGGCATGGTAGCACACCCCTATAGTTCTGGCTGCTTGAAAGACTGAGGCAAAAGGGTCACCAGAATCCAGCAGATCAATGCTGGGGTAGCTGTGAGCATGCCCCTGCACTCTAGCCTGGGTGATAGAGAGACTCCAACTCAAAAAAAAGGGACTAAAGAGTGGGATCCTGCAATTAGAAGGAGTATTGAAATGTGGGGTCTCAAAAAGGTAAAAACCAGGAAAACCAGGACCATTTTCTTCCTCAGGAATTCCATCCTTCTGTTGCCTGATCGTGTAGTCTTTTGTCATTATCTAAAAATGATTAAATGTATTCTTGTGCCTGTCCTGTTTGATTTACCCAAAAACAACATTGTTCTTTTAGCATAGCACAGACTCCCTCACTGACAGCAGTACAGTAAGTCCCCTACATACGAACATTCAAGTTGCAAACTTCAAAGATGTGAATTCACATGTCCAGTCACATAAGTTCACATGTCTGGCATACATTGTCACATGTGTGCATCCTCTATAAGTGGTTGTGCTTTTGTGTACTTTACTGTTATTTTTATGTATTATTTGTGTGAAAAGTATTATAAACCTATTACAGTACAGTACTATACAGCCAACTGTGTTTGTTAGGTACCTAGGCTAACTTTGTTGGACTTACAAACAAATTGGACTTATGAATGCACTCTCAAAAGGGAGCGTGTTTGTATGTAGGGGACTTACTATAACGAAACCTAAAGTTCCTCAGTTTTGTAGGACTACAGCCACAAGAGAATTAATTTATACCAGACAGTACTGAGCAAGGATGCGATTTATTAACAGCAGCTGATTCCATAGATAGATTGGCAAGCATTTAGTGGGCTGCACCAGCCCCATGTCCCCCTGTTGTGATCTCTGTAATTCCCAGGATTGAAGTGATCATGATGAGGATGAGAATTAAGGGGCTGACTCTTTGTTGTCTATGATTGTTGGTTATCACTGGAAGGGCAGCAGGGCTGGGCCCATTTAGAAACAGAAGCTTGGGGAGTAGATAAACTGGCATACATACCCCAGTCCAACTGGTAGGCAGACAAGAATAAGCTTGGGTCCCACATAAAGAGGATACCTGTTTGAAGAGGGATGTGCATGCAGACATATGGTAAAGAGGTTGTTGGGTGACATTTTGATGGTCTGTGTATGTGGAAAGAAAAGTAAATGATCAAGTTGCCGCCGCCATGGGATGGAAACAAGGGGTGTTGTGTGTCTGTTCCTAGTGCCCAGCACTAATTAACCTTAGTAAATATCAAATGAATGAACTAGATAGAATACAAAAGTCAGACAGAATATAAAACTTTCCCAAGGCAGCTTGTTTTTTTTTCACAAGCAGTCCTTAATTTCAGTTCTGCGACTGAGGCTACCACATCCACCATCTCTGAAGCCAGGAGGCTGCAGATGCAAAGACTCCACTTCCCCCAACTCCCGCACTTGTAAAATTCTGATGATTAGTGAAGCCTGGGGACGTTACCTTTCTGAAGATTGTCTTGGCCAATCACTATCAGATATAGAGCTTCACCAAGACTTGAGGTACCCTTAACAGGCCAATATTTACATATTTTTCTTTGTGTATTTTTAGAGGGAGACTGATGGTTATGTGCAGAAAGGTTTTGGGGAAGAATATACTGCCTCTCTTCTGGTTCATTAGCATTTCAGCTCTGACCCTAAACCCTCTTACCCTACTCAGCAAAACAAAAGGTTCCAGTTAACCAGGCCCTGCACCTCTCCTTAGGTGGGAGTTTGAGAATGTATTTGAGAATTCTCCTGGGGCTCTCATGCCATCCTTCCACAGCCCAACCAGTTTTCCCTTCCACTACATGGAGTGTCCTTCCTGGGAAGATTTTAGTGGATGCATTTCTGCTCAGTGCCACACATTTCCAGTAATGTTGCAATGCTCCTCTTTGATGGGCTTCCTGGGTGAGCCTTCCTCTGGCTGCAGTTGCATACAGGCTCTTGGAGAACCTGCTCAAGCACCTCATATACGTTAATTTCTGTCCTCTGGCCCTTTTACTGCCCAGCCCTCTTCCTTGTGAATTGGCCTCTGAAAGGCCAGGGAACAATGGGCCACAGGATGTCTAGTAGAGGAGGTGAGCAGGAGGCAGTGGACAGCCTTAGCCCTTCCCTTGAGGCTCAGGCCATGCTCTTGAAGTTTTCTGGGAATCTTGTTGATAGCTCCCAAAACGGAAGAGTGGCTCAGGTCCTTCAAGTGATGAAGTAGAACTTGCTGTGGATTCTTTCTAGAGTAGCTTCAACTCTTGTAAATAGCCTCATCAGGAGGAGAAAAGAAATGTTGGAAATTAGGAGCTGTATGACAGTCATCATTGGGCTAGCGAGGGCTTACAAATGCCACATGGATGCCATCAACTTCTGCTTCAGACACCAGCCAGCAGTGTTTTTCTCCCTCTTGACTTTCTCCCCAAGTCCTTTCTCCAATCCTGACACTCCAGTCACTTTCTACCAGTCTTCTTCCTCCCTGCTCTCCCACCCTACCCCCTCACCCCCAAAATAAAGACTGAGCATGAATCTGGTGTGGGGAGAAGCCCTCAAAGCAGGCAGATTGCTTTCTGTGGAAGAGCAAACTCTTCTAGAGTGACTAGAAGAGAAATTTGAAAATGGCCGTAACTCTGAGTCACTGGCCAGGGCAGAGGAGCCTACAAGAACAGAAAAGGGTGAAATATATTAAAATGGGAAGAAATTGCTTACTTTTCCCTCTAACCTTAGGGGACTGCAGGTTATTGTCATTTAGGTCTTAATTGTCAACCTTTCTTCCTGGATTCGCAGTCACCATCACCCCCCATCCCCCACCCCTGCTCCCTGCTCCCCCCACCTCCCCAGAAAGGACTGCAGCAGAGCCAGGGCCACTTGCCATTTAAATTAGAATGACAATGAAGCTTTCATATTTTTCATGGATTTGGTTGACTTGACAGTTTTTAATGTTTATGTTAGTACTTGAGATGTGTGTTAAATATTTGATTTCACTAATATTTTTATAGATTTAGAATGTTTTTAAAACTTCTAGTACAAAATAATACCAGAATTGCTTTCTTGGGTGAAATAAATATAATAGCATGTGTTCTAACTAGTGTCAGTGGGATTGTGTCACCCTAACTTAAAGATGAACAATGCCAAATAGTCTGCCTGCCCTCGGCTGGATCTCTTGGGATGCCCATGAAGAAAGACTTGGTAGCCGGGCTCGGTGGCTCAGCCTGTCATCCCGCGCCTTTGGGAGGCT